GGGGGGGGGGGGGCGGGGGAACTTAGCAAATAAGCTAGTGACTACCATTGGCAAGCTTGTACAGGGACAAATCAGCATACATGACTGCATAAACAATGGTAACTGTGTCATCTGTGCTCTCTGTTTCCACTTGTGTGAACAATAGTTCTGTTAAGCTTTTGAAAGGTTTTTGCTGTTTACTGGAGAACATTCTTTCACAATATGCAGCATTTCCATATCTCTTACATTTGGGATAATAAGCTCATTTTGGCCATGTACAGATTTCCTATGTACAGAAGGAGTTTTCCATTGCCTTTGCCAGGATGTTCTTCAGCTCCCCAGTCTAGTCTACAACCTTAGGATGTTCTGGTAATTTCACCTCCAAGTACGAACCAGTCCCAACCTTGCTTAGTTTCCAACCAGACAAGACTAGCCAGCTGCTGTCACCTCCTGAGCTTGAACATCAACTCATCTGCTATTCCATTGTTTAAATAATTGGTAGGTATAAAAATGGTCAGGATAAAACCATATATGGTCTCCTGAGGTCTTCATTGAGATTGAACTTGCTGAGTGGTCAATGATATATTCCTATTATATATTGCATATAGAGAACTGAGAAAACTGAGTTGAACAGAAGATAATTTGTTGGACTCTGACTCCATATTCACTTATCTCTTTTAACTTTCTTAGATTGTGAATATTGCCTGACATTCTTTGTTGAAGAGTGTTCTGTTCATGGTCCTCCACTTTTCATCAGAGACACATTAGCTGAACTAGGACTGGCAGACAGAGCCACCTTCACTTTACCTTCAGGTTTTAGAATTGGCCTTTCAAGTATCCCCAGAGCTGGTTTTGGAGTCTGGAATGAAAGGGAAATATTGCCTCCAGGAATTCATTTTGGACCATATGAAGGAACAATGACAGAGGAAGAAGAAGCAGCAAACAGTGGCTATTCCTGGATGGTATGATCACGGAACATGGATTTTACAGCATTTTCATGTAATTTCCCTTTCAATAAATGAACACACCTATTTTGTGTTAAAGAACTATGTGGCTTTACTTAGTGTTCCTGCTTTAAAGATGCTAGTCTGTAATAGCATGAAGCAGAACTTTTTCCATTGTGACATGTGGCAATGGAAATCCCTCTCTAGAGAAGTTTTATTGCTTTTTAACTTTATGAATTTATTTTCTGCCAAGCATTTGGTTCTTGGCACTTCCTTTGAATTGCCCAAGTTCTAACCAACATTTTATGAGACATAAAATAGGTAAATATGTTTTGGTATTGTTTTCTTATCATTTTTAGTGGATTTTCCCCATTTTCTAGGGATTAATTAAGACAAGGCATGTCATTAAGTTATTACTGTATTGTAATGAAATTGTTATACATAATTGTGTCAATTCCATATTGATATACATAGTTCATGTCTATTGTATTTACAGATTACCAGAGAGCAGAACTGCTACATTTACGTTGATGGAAAAAATGAAACTAGTTCCAACTGGATGAGGTAAAGATCTTTGATGAAAGGAGAAGAGATTTTTGTATAACTGTTTTCATACTGTTGAAAAGACCTATAGCACAAACAAGTGAACTTGCAAACTATCTAAGCTAAATTACTTGATTTTAAGACCATGTAATATAGCTGTACTATACTATACTAACTTTGTGAATATAATGATGTTCCATTGATCTAAATGAAATTCCAGGTAAGATAGCTTATAGTCACAGTTGTAGAAGTTTAAATTACAAGAAACAAACAAACAAACAAAATTTGCAAAGCACTTGGTACAATTATATATAGAGAGATAAGTCAAAACTAGAACAGTATATTTCTGCTCACTCAGCCATACTTGCGTTATAGTATAGCAGTCAAATAATTTTATTATAATAATGGAACATTGTAGAATGAAAATTGCTCCCAATTTCTTTGAAAAGAAGTGCAATATGAAGATCATTAACCTTTCAACATGAGAAACCATGACATTTTGCACAAAGGAAATTCCTTGCTTAAAGTGGACTAATGTAATGATTAATAATAGAGGTAGATTAACACAAATAAGTAGACAAACTGAATTATTACTGGTATCAGAAAACATAAATAAATATCAAAGAATAGAAATTAGAAGAAATGTTCAGTTTGTACAATCAGGATATAGCTTCCAAAAGCATACTGGAGTTTTGTTGTGTTGTGTTGTTTTTAAATGGAGACAGTTTTATATAGAGTTAAGGTGGTGAATGTATTTCACTTTTCCATGTATACAAAACCTTTTCCCCGTCTACAAAATAAAGTGCTCTTTATCCAAGAAAGTACCCAACTGGAAAAAATGATCACAGAGACTTTCCCATTTAGCTCCTTTTGGTCTTTCTTTAGCTGTGAATAACAGATTGGTTACAGCTGAGTAACAGCTATTTGTAATAGTAATGGCTAAATAATACAAAATATCAATATTAGTATTTCATATAATATGTATTGTCTTCATTATTTTCTTTATCAGTAGAAATTATCTGGACTTTTAAAAATGTTTCTCCATTTTGGCCATCACCCAGATTATTCTACATTTGCTGGAGGTTATTTTTAAATAAGTGTATGAATATTCATCTCTTCATGATCTGAGAAGTTCCCCAAAACTTCTCAGTTTCAGTTTTGTTTAAATCATCCTAAACTCAAGCATGAGTCTATGGTGTTAACAATGTACAGGGCAAGATTTAGAAGCAGGTAGTCACTTGCCAGATTTGGGAATACTATAACTGGTCTCAAAAAGACATCTTTGCTCAATGAATTTTGGCCAGAGACCAAATTGCTCTATCTATGAAAATGCTATTATCTTACTGATGTGTTTAACTCTGCAAGAGCAAAGATTAAAAATGCCATTTTTGAAAAAAAAATAGATTGATAATAATATTCTAGGGCCGTTACCTACTGTAGCACAACTGTATGTATGCATGTATGTACTTGATTTATATACCGCCTTTCATTCAGTATCTCAAGGTAGCTTCCTGTTTTTCCCCACTACAATAACTTTGTGAGGTAGGTTGGACTGAGAGGAGGTTGGGCTGAAAGAGAGAGTGACTGGCGCAGAGTTGTCCTGTGTGGTTACATGGCTGAGGGTGGACTATAATCTAAGTCTTCCTGATCCAGCCCAACATCTTAGCCAGGCTATGATACTGGCTGTCATACACCATGTGCACTACATTAAACATCTACATATTTTTAATATATAGTTCAACATCTTGATGTTGTTAAAATTAAAGCATCTATAAATACAAACACTAATTTTTAAAATTTGTTTATATAAACTATGAATAAAATAGTCTATATATATGTTCACGCAATCGACTTAACCTAGTTAGTAAATCAATTTTCTGGGCTTGTGCACTATATTGAACTCTTAACTAAGGGTTCAGATTAGCACCTAAGGTACTAACAAAGGTTAAAACTAACCAAGTTTAGATGCTAACTATGATCTATGAACACATATATTAACAGATCTATGCATCCACGTGTTGTGTCTTAATCAACTGATTAAGACTCCTGAAACTGAAAGACAAGATCTTGAGCTGAGGTACAAATATAGGTTAAAAAATGCAGGGAGCATGCTGAGCTTCTCTAGCTGTGACATCATTTGGTATTGACAACGTTTTAGCTTCATGTTGCCAAGATACTTCTCCTTCTGGGTGAAACTTTGAATGAGTGGTGCAACTGGCTTTTTCTATGGGCTATTTTAATATTTATGTTCAGTTAGTGCTATGTGTTCCAGACCTTTGGGATTGGGGTGGTTAATCTTACAAGCAAATAAAATACCAAATCTTTATAGAGTGATTTACTAATACATATAAGCAATAAAGATGAGAAATAGCAATGAGATTTTTCAGAGTCTTACCATCCATTACTTTGTCCTGTAGCTCCTCTTATCCCCTGCTGGTTCTCCATCATATAGCTCTCTTGAATCTGTTTTAGCTTTAGAAAATGAGATTCACTGAGCCACTTTGGATTATAATCTACCATTTTAAGATCTAAATCCAAATTATGACATAATTTACATGCAATATTGAAGATTCAGTGCACTGTTGTATATGGGTGCAATATTCAGCAGGTTAAAATATTGCAGCAGGACATTTAATTGCATGAGAAGTATTAAGGAAAAGAGTTAACCATACTTCATAGTGCTATCTAGTTTCCTGGTTTCTCTGATAACAACATTTCCTTTTAACATCAGTCACCCTCTTAACGATAGGTATGTTAACTGTGCCAGGAATGAGGAGGAACAAAACCTTGTTGCTTTCCAGTATCATGGGGAAATATATTACAGAACATGTAAAGTAATCCAACTTCATTCTGAGCTTCTGGTTTGGTATGGAGAAGAATATGGAAAGGAACTTGGCATCAAATGGGGATCTAAATGGAAATCACTAAACGGTATAATGCTAGATGATTAATTGCTTAAATTAATGATAGTCAACTCTAGGCCAGAGATTCCCAAATTAAGTAATTTTTTCATGGTGTCTTTAGCACTTAAGTAATTTAAGCCCCTAGGCCAAAATATTGTCGAAAACTCAGCTTCACAGATGGATGTTGCAAAAATGTAAAATATCCTGCAGAGCCTCTGTGAGTTTGCTGCAACTCCTCCAGGTGCCGCAGCACACAGTTTGGGAACTGCAGCTCTAGGCAATAAAATGCCTAGGAATTTCATATAGTGAATGTGGGTTGAGAGAACTGATGTTTTGACATGGTGATAGTGTGGCTTCCAGCATTTTGCCAGTTCACTTTTAAGTAGCATTTTTTTTCGAAGGATGAGAGATGATTTGCAGTAATAACCGCATAATTATAGCCATTATATTAAAATTTGCCATTGATTATATTCATAATATGAATATGTGAATTGATCCATGGGTCATACTTTTTTCCTTCAGTAAGAGTTGATTTTTAATAAATGACAGAGTAGAAAATGTTTAGAAGTCCTGCTCTTGTTTTTCTCTCAAACACAGGTATTGAAAGCTACTTTAACAATGATAGGAGGAGAAATACATGCTCCATCTATTTGGCCCTACACATTACCAGTTTTTGTGAAATCTTTTTTACTACAACTATATTATTTTCA